CCGCCTCCAATTGCGGCATGGTCGTGGCGGCAGTGGCGGCGGCGACCGTGGGGGCAGAGGCGGTGCGGAGGACAGCAGCCCTCAGGTGGGCCCTGGGCCTCGCTCGTCCCCGCAGACGCTGCAGCTGTCAACTGGACGTACGCCTGGGCTGGCGGAGGCTATGTGGCAGTCGCCAAAGCAGCTGATGCGGGCGCAAGGTGGCAGCCGCTCAAGCTATTCCGCTGCTTTGGGCTTGGGGAACATTTCAGGAGGCAATGACAACCGACAGTACAAGTGGCAGCAGCAGCAACAGCAGCAGCAGCAACGGTTGCAGGAAGCAAAGGAGCAAGGTGAAATAGAGCAGCAGGAGCAGCAATCTTGCTTGACCAAGGCAGCAGCAGGCGGAGATGAGTCTGCGATCGACGCCCTGGAGCACAGGTTGGCCCAGCTGAGAGCCGCCTTCCGCAGCAGCTGTGCAGGCAGGAAAGGACACCAGCAGGGGGAGCAGCGGCATCAGAATTCCCAGCAGCAGGTTCAGATTGACAGGGGCCAGGGGTACTCTGAACAGAAGGGAGAGCAGCATGAGTTTGAGGGGCAGAGCGAGCACGCCAAGGGTGACGGGCAACCTGAGGAGCAATCAACTGAACCGAGTAGCTACACTCTGCAGCACCAGCTCCAGCGGCAGTCGTTGCGCAGGCGAGCAGCAGCTTGTGGAGCCCTGCTGGGGCAGCCGGCTCATGCCTGGCAGTCGTCAGCCACTGCGGTGGCCCGGACTGCAGCAGAAGCGCAAGGCGTAAGGGGCACCAGCAGTAGATGCAGTGACAAATGCGCAAGCAGCAGTGCGAGCAGTGGTGGCGGCAGCGCGTTTAGCAGCGGGGAGGTCACCAGCAGCACAAAGCTGGCAGGTGGTGAGAAGGAGCCCCTGGAGTACAGCTTGGCTGGTGCAGGAGCAGGGCTAGCGCAGGTGGTAGGTCAGGCATCAGAGCATCAGCAGGGCGCTGCAGCTCTGGAGGAGGGCATGAGTGCGTTTGGGGACGTCAGCAGCATGTGCAGCGGCGGTGGCGGCGCTTTCAGCAATCCTGGCGCCAGGCGCAGGCGTGTGGACAAGCTGCTGGCTGCTGACAAGTGATCAGCATACGTTGGCAAGTGCACCCCAGCACAGCAGGGCTGCAGTGCTGCGAGCTGGTCACAGCCGATTCAGCACTCAATGTGCTTGGACTGTCAACCCGTCATAGAGAGCAGCCGTTGGGGGAATGAGGTAGCAGCAGCGTCATGGCTACAAATAGCAGAGCGATATGTCCACGGCAACACGCCGCTGCTGTGCACGCAGGCAAGCACAGGGCCGGGGCCTGTGAAGGTCGATTGTGCAAGCCCTGGGCAAAGGGGTTTGTAAAACGGTTCAAGAGCACGCACTTGCAACGAAGTCGTGGGGCTCTTGCAGCAGAGTGTGCTTGCCATACAGTTGATGCGCTGGATTATTGTAACTAAACCTCCTGGCACACATACGCTCAACCACTCAAGGTTGGCAAGCTGGAAATGGGGGTTGAGGACAGGGACAGCTCACATGTCGGACTGGATTCAGGGGATGCAACCTATGGCAACAAAAGCACTGGAGACAGACGCGCGACCCACAGCGGCGTGGATATCCTCCTGCAAGAGTCAATAATCAAATGCATGCGCCGCAAAATTCGCGGGGCAAGTTGCCTGCCTGCAACTGCGCAGCCAGCAGCTGCCCCCACCTCAGGCGTGCACAGCAATTGGCTGTGAGCTTGGTGGCTGGGTTCACGTCGCTTGGCACTGGATGCACTCAGGGGGAACATACAGTTTTGCTACCAACATGATTATATAACCCACTGAATTCGGCTGCAGCATGCCGGCCTGCCATGCGCGTGTGAACAAACTGCCTTGCATTGTCAGCAGGCACCTTCCCTTGGCTGCCGCTCCTACCTGGCGTGGTAATGGCCCCTGGGATGTTGTAAAAGCTCAGCAGCTGAGGTTTTGAAAACATCACCTCAAATTTGCGCCGGGAAGTGGGGACCAACGACGCCACCCAACGTTCGTGCTGCTAGCGGTTTCTGCCAGCCGTTTCGTCTGCACAGATCCAGGTTGCTGTGGTATGGTGCGTGCTATGGTGCGTGCTGCGATGTGTCTGATTTCAAATCTGTAAGCTCTTGTTCATTCAAGCCGCAAACACGACGAAGGCTGCGCCCAGCGCGGCAGCAGCGTTGACAGAACCAACCAGACTCGCGGCCTTTGCCACCAGGCGGCATTACTCCGCGATCCAAGAAAGCTTCTGTATCTATCTAAGTTGATAGTATATCAGGGGACATGACGCGAGGACGAGGAGCCCGCCCGCTGGTGGGCCTAGCGCTGCTGCTGCTCGCAGGTAGGAGGCTCAACGGACCGGTGAAAAGAGCGATACCGAACTATATGATCGCATCGCCTTCGCTCAGCTGTGCCAGCAACGTCGGCGCCAATTGGCGTCATGCTGACGCGGCTTCGGCTGGCAGCAGCACGCATCAGCTTGCGCTGCCTTGGCAGCCAGCGCTGCAATTGCAGCTGTGCAGCAGGGCAGCTGGAATGCAGCCGGGGTTTGCAGCCAGCCTAATGCCAGGCACCAATGCGTGCGAGTGGACCACAGGCACACAAGAGCGTCATGGGCTCGACCCCTCTGTCTTCAGCCACCCCTTCCAGGCAATAATCCCCACCTTGGCGCCGTTCCCTAACGCGCTCCAACGCAGGCGCCGCGTCTGCACAGCCACTCATGTCCCAGGCGGGCGACCTGCTCATGATGCTCACCAAAGCCATCGACACCGTCCGCGACTTCCGCAACTCCACCGTCCCCGCCGGCAGCAAGGGCGCCGGCGGCGCGGCGGGCGCCAACCTGCCGGGCCCGATCAGCAGCGAGCCCTTCTCCGCACGGATCCTAAAGCTCAAGGTCGGCGGCGGCAACACGTATGAGTGGAACGTCGCGTCGCTGGCGTTCCCGCGGAACATCACCGTGGGCGGTAGCGAGGCCGCGCAGGTGACGTTTAAGACGCGGTACTCGCGCAGCCCGGCCGCGTACGTCCCCTACTTCCTCAAGGGAACGCTGGAGCTGCGCAACCTGAGGAATGACGCCGTCAAGCTGCAGGTGCGGCGACTGGCTGGATGGCGCATAGCAGCATGCGTTTGGCAGGTGTTGCAACCAGGGGCCCCCACCAGGGGCGAGGGGCGTGGATGAGCACGAAGCGCCTGACCTTGTGGGTTGGCAGAATAGCCAGTGCACGGTGTGAGAGGAAAATTGTTGCCTGCCCGGACTTGGCTGGTGGGGTTTGCACCTGCCGCAGCGTGGGGATCCTGTGGCTGGCTATCTCATAAGAACTCCCATGGCCTGAAACGCTTTCGACCCTCCACCCCAACACACCAACCCGTCACAGGGCCCGGTCAAGGTCCTTGTGACCCTCCGCCGCGCTCCTGGCGTAACAACCGGCCCTGCTGTCCTGGAGACCACCCACTACGCCTCGTGCGGCAAGTCCGCCCCCACCAAAGTCGCCGCCAGGAGGAACGGCGGCAGGGCCGGCATCACCAGGTGCAACTTCGAGGCCGCCCTGCCGCAGGCGCTGCTGATGACGCGCGCCGCAGAGGCTGCACTGGCGGACGCCCTCGGCGCCAGCGCCGGCGCCGGCGGCGCCGCGCTGCCGGACGCTGAGGCGGCCGCCAAGTCGATCAGCTCCAAGGCGGACGCCTTCTCGCCCGAGGCCGCCATCGTGGTGCAGGCGCTGCCCCATTTCGCAAAGGGCCCCATGGCACTCAACCAGCCGTACAAGGCGGCGTTCGGCATCCCCGAGGGCGCCTGCGTCGCCGTCGGCGAGAAGATCGCCGGCGCCCTCTCCCGCTTCATCCAGCCGACAGGCTCCTTCCTGCCCTCTGGAGTGCGCGTGGCGTGCGAGGCCGGGGCGTCCCGCACATCTGTTGCCAAGCTGGGCGGCTTCGATGCGTCGGCGTGCGGCGCCCACCCGCTGACGCTCACGCCCTTTGGAATCCCTGTCGATGCCGAGGATGCCGGAAAGGCCGTGATCAACGTCGTCGGCTGCAACAGGACCCTGCTGGGCCGCCCTGACGTGGTGCTCACCAAGCTGGAGGCGGTGCGTGTCTACAACCACACCTGGTCCGTCGCCACCCAGGTCACGCCGCAGCTGAACCGCACCGCAAAGCTCGGGGCCGAAGCCGAGGCGGCGGCGGCGGCCGGCGGCACGCTGGTGCTGGCGGCCAACGGGTACGCGTCGGCGGACTACACCATGACGATCACCAAGAACCCTGTAATTGACCTTGGGAACCGCATCAGGGTGGGTAGCGCGGGGGGTTGGGATCTTCTTGGTGGTGCAACTCTGCGCGACGAGGAGCGCGGGGATGAGGCAGATGCGGGGCTGCGTCAGTGCACTCCTCAGGAGTGCGTCAAGCCCGTCAGATTCTGGCGGCTTCTATGAGCTCTCTCCTGAATAAGGGTGTTGTCGAGTGCCATGCCAAGCCTGCGTTAATTCACCCTCCGCAACTCATCCTGTGATGGTCACAGGGCGAAGTGGCAATCACCACCACCTCCATGGTGCCCGAGCTGCTCCCCACTGGCTCAGTGCGGATCGCCGTGACCTCCCCCGGCTACAACGCCACGTACCTCGACGCAAAGTGCCCGCCCGTCGTCGGGCCCGGCGGCGCCAAGTGCACATTCGACGCCCCCTGGTCTGCCACCAAGATTGGATCCGTCCAGGCCCAGCTCAAGTCGCTCGCGGCGTCGTCTTTCGACGTCAACAGCGGGACCAAGCGCCCCTTCGACTTCTCCAGCCCCCAGATAATAGATCTGGGCGCCTGTGTCAACGTGGACCGTGCCTACCTCGGGGAGTCCGACGTCGCTGCCGCCCCCAGTGCGGGCGGCGCCAAGAAGCCGCCGCCGCTGAACAACCTCGTCAACGGCGTGGACGCCCTGCTTGGGGCCGTGCGCGTCGACCTGACGCGCTACGGCTTGCCCAAGGACACTTTTGGCGAGCTGCTTGGACTTGGGGCCCCCAAGGTTGACGACGCCTCGCGCCGCCGCCTCATGGCATCATTGGATCCAGAGGCCAACCGCGCCGACGCGGCCGCGCAGCTTGCGCCCGCGCTGCACCCGCTCAAGCTGCTGTCCGGCGCTGCGCCGCCGCCACCTGGCTCGGGCTCGCCGCTGCGCATCTGCAAGTCCCAGGTGCTCTCCTGGACAGAGCAATTTGGCGGCGTTGGAGATTCGCAGTGTGCCACTGTGTTCAGCGCGTCCCAGGCGCTCAGCGTGTCCCCCAACGGCACCGCTGCTGGCGCGCAGCCCCCCATCGTCCGCAGCATTGGCCTGCCCGTCCTGGTCGCCGGCTGCGATATGAAGCCAGCCGCTAAGCTGCTCGCGCTGCGCGCGACTGCGACCAAGGCCTACTCCTGGACTGTCTCGAACAAGTACCTGGACAAGAAGTTCAACGTGCCGCAGTCCAACCCCAACCCCGTGGTCGCGCGGTACAGCGTGGCCTTCAACCGCACCAGCAGCCTCACCAACTACACACTGGAACCAGCGGTCGTGCTGCTCAACCACTTTGCGGCCAAGCTCCCGGTGTCCGCCGTCTACGCGACCATCCGCCTCGACGACGCGCCCAACGCGCAGCTGACCGCCAAGCTTGTCTGCAAGGGCCAGTCTGAGAGCGGCGCCCTTGTCCTGCCCGCTGCCGCGTCGGCGTCCGAGCCCGTGCCCGTCGGGTGCGTCGGCTCGATCCAGCTGCCCGGCCCCTCGGCGACCGGCACCATCGTTATCACGACGGAGACCCCCAAGAGCGGCAACGTCACCTCGGACCCCAGCCGCTTCGACCTGCAGGGGGCGCCCGTGGACGTCACCGCCGAGAAGGGCAAGTGCATCACGGTGGAGGGCGGCTTCTCTGACGCAGTCAAGAACGGCGTGCTGGGCATCCGCCCCGTCAGGACAAACGGGCCCGCCATCATCGGGACGCAGGAGCTGTGTGAGCCCCGCAAGCTGGGCTTCAGCGCCGAGTTCGGCCCCTTCACAGACGGCTCCTGCGGCAACTTTGTGGTGGGTGGCCCTGCGCGCGCTTTGGGGTTTCACCCCCGGAGTTTGGCGTCGGGCTTGGTGGCTCACAACCTGTGCGAAGCGGCCTGCCCGACAGCACTTGCCAGCTGCTGCACGCCCTGATAAGGTCTGAATCACGAAAGTGCGCTGGCAGAACATACGGTGGTCTTTCCCCGTTCACACAGGCGCGATGCTGACAATATGTGTGCCGTGCCTTGCCACCTCCTCCCCGCCCGCCCCCCTCAGGGCCGCTACGTGGTCAGCATCCTCGGCCTGGGCAAGACCTCCTCGTCCTCCGCACTCATCACAGTCCACAGCTGCAAGAAGTGAACACAGCCCGCAGAGATGGCAATGCCAACGACGCGCACTGCGCAAGGCGTCCAAGGCATGTGCTGCCGCGAGGCCATCCCTCGTGCCCTCAGAGGCCACCCGCCAGGCCACCCGCACGCACGCGGCGTGCACCGCCCAGGGTGGTGTCTGTGCGCGCCTGACCACGGGCTTGCCTGGCGGCGGGCTCAGCGTGTGTGACGTGAGGAGAGCGCCGGTACCCGGGATTCACATGCCCGCTGCTGTGCCATGCGTTGGGGTGCGGCATCGTCAGCCTGGAGGGAGGGGCGTCAAAAGGCCGGCCGTGTTCTTTGCCGCCGGGGGGGGAGGGGGAACGACACTACACACCACACAGGGCCTAACAAAACCCTACACAACACAATCCGGACGGGCGTGCCTCGCAAACATGCAGCCCTTTTTTGATGAACTCAGAACGGGCTCTGCATAGCCTCCCGCGTTGCGCTGGCACCTGCTGCCCACCGGGCCTATGACACGAGGCCGCGCTTGATGCGCCATTCAGCACTGCCAAGCTCCTTTCCTTTTGGGGGTCACTGCTGCCTGCAGGTCGGCGCGCCATGCGTGTGCGTTGCTGCACAGCACGGGCTAGCAGACACGCAGCCCATCTCATACACCACTTCTTGCTTAAAGCACTTGTCACCATCCCCCCTCTTTCCGCATGGTCGGCCCGCATCAGAGCCTAGTGCGCTGCCGCTGCGGCAAGCTGTGTGCGCTGCCGGCCACGCGCGATCCATTGCGTACTGACCCCGGGTCCATTTTGGCGCACACTCCATCTCGGCATCCGAGGCGTTATGGCTCGATGTAAGGCAGGTGACGGCCCTCGGCTGCTTCAGCTCAGCTCAGCCTTCCCTTGCGGTGTCCCGGAGGGAAACAGTCGTTTTTAGGGGTGCTGACTGAAGCCTCACCTCAGCCAGCTCAACCCTGGCCTTCAAGGCCACATGCCGCTGCCCCGTGACACCGCAACCAATTTGACACCCACGGTCGACCCTTGGTGATTGATGTATGCCTTGCATGACCTGCTGCTGCCGTAGGGTCCTTGTCGCACTACTACGGTGCTGCTATTGACACGACAATGGCACTGCGACACAGCCGCAGCACCTGCCCAGCCCCTCTATTGACTTGGCCCCTGGCCTGCACCCCGGCCGTCAGGCACAGGGAGCGCTACCGAGCTGCTACGTACCGCGCGCCAAGGGCAAGCAAAGTGATGCCCCAATGGTTACTAAGGCCTCATATCGCACGTCTTCCTTGAGACACGTGTCCCACGCAAGACTTGTGTGTGATTAGTTCAAGGTGCATTGTGTCAGGAAAAAAGCCAGCCGTCGGAAGTTTGGGGTGTGCGCCACCACCAGAGCAATTTGCGGCGGGAGCGCCATGTCCATGCCTGCTGTGAAGTGCCTGGAAAGGACAAACAACAGATGAATCACACGCAAAACAATCGCACCGGCAAATCAGAATCACAATAACCCTCCGTCACACTCGCATGCAGGGCGCCAGAAAACAGACATAGAAGGTTCAACGCCCAGTCAAACTGACTACCAGATGCTGTCCGCCTTGCAAAACAGCGGTCCAGAGTCCCTTTCAATCATTCACGCACAAAACTGCGCTCTCAGAACCCATCAGGCCGAGAGTCTCAGAGGGCTCATGATGGCAGCCAAGGGCGGTACCCTCCGGTGCTGTTCCCGCGGCCGTCCCCGCGATCCCTTGCGCCGCCGCTTCTCGATGTCCCGCAGCGCACTCTTGGCGAGAGGGGCCCACTGGCTCGCGCAGCTGAAGTCAGCGACACCCATGCCTGCGGATCAGGCGCGTGAGAGCGTGCGGGTGCGTGTTTGCGCAGACGTATTCCACGTTAGTGTGAGGGATGGTGGTGCATGATTCGTTTGTGAAGCGCACGCGCCTCCACGGCGCGCACGAGCTGCGAGGCGGGCATGCAGACAGGGTTGAAGAAAGCAGCACCATACAGGAGGTCATCGCCTGCAACAGACCGTTGCAAGAACACCGCAAGACATCTTGCCCACTTCCGCACCCTGCAGAGCCCCCAGATAAACCCCCTGTCCATCACGAGCACCACTCCCTCACCCTGGGCAATGCCCCTGAGCAGCTGCACTACCCTCAGCACGAAAAACACGTCTGGTGGAAAATGCTCCACGGACGCCTTCTTGAGGGGGGAGTTTGGGTCAAATGGGTCCACCTGGGGTGGGGTGGGGTGGGGTGGTTCGGTGGGTGGATGCGTGAAGGGTGGCCGTGAGCAGGTTGGTTGCAACGAGGTGAGTGGGCGGCACAGGGTTGTTGACTTGAGGGTTGCGTGGTGCAGGTGGATGACGCGGGTTTGAGCCCAGCAGCGCAGCACAGCCGTCCAAGTAGGAGTGAGTATGCTGCCGCACCACTCAGCTGGCGAGCTGGGACTCAAGGAGGCACGCCAGGGCAATCACGCAGCTGCTCGGGAGCCCAAAGGAGGCCGAGACTGTGCACGCTGCGCCCACCTTCGCCACTTGCCGCGTGACCCGCAAGAACCCACGCACGCAGTGTTCAACCGCGCCAACCCAAACGACCCGATTACGAAGGCGCCCCCACCGTGCCGCGCGTGTCGAACATGCCGTACGCCAGGGAGCGCCGCAGCTCGGGGTCCACCTTGTCGATCTGCACGCCCAGGCCCGTGATGGCCGCGTTGATGGCAGGAGTGTCCTCCCTGCAGCAGCAGGCGCCAGGCACGAGATCAGATACAGCGCGGCCATCGTATCAAGGTGCAGCCGAGATGGGGCCGACGACGGACGAGGGTGGGTGCGCCAAGGCGCGGCACGAGCATCCACGTGCTAGGCCCTTCAAACAATGTCACCTGCCCCCCCCCCCACACACACACACACCCACAGGCACGCCACCTGTGCATGCACACGCGCCTTTCAAGAAGAAGCCCCAACTTTTCAGCCAGCACATCCCAGGGCCGCGCCTCTCAACAGCCATCACTAGAACACAGCGGCACGCTCCCTTCACCACCACCACCAACGCCACCGCCGCCGGCCCTCGCACCTGTCCAGCGCGATCATCAGCCGCGCGAGCGCCTCCCGCTCCGCCCCCGGCAGCTGCTTGGACTGCCCGTAGTCCAGGAGCGCGATGGAGCCGCCGTGGCGCACCAGGATGTTCCCGGGGTGGCCGTCCGCCTGGAAGAGGCCCTCCCCCATGATCATGCGGCCGTAAGCCTCCGACAGGTTGGCCAGGATCAGGCGCGCAGCCTGGGAGCCAGGGTGGGGGAGGAGAGGGGCGAGGGCGGGGGT